TTAAGGATGTTTAGAGATTTAAGGCACTTGAGTTTTAATCTCTTAATGTGTGGAATGAAAGTCAACTTGGAATCGAACAGAAGGCCCAAAAACTAGTGCTCAGTTTTTACAACAATAGGAGAACCATACATGTTCAAAGACGGTTCCTGAAGAGCACCACGTCCACGAGAAAAGTTGACACAAGCTGTTTTTTCGGGAGAAAATTTAAACCCATTCGTATCGGCCCATCTGACCAAATTATTGACCGCAAGTTGAACGCGACGTTCACAAATTGAGAGATTACAGGATGAAACGGAGATCTGGAGATCATCAACATATAAGGAATATTGCACCGAAGGAGGAATTACACGGCCAATGGAATTAAGTTTGACGATAAAAAGAGTGACACTCAGTACACCCCCCTGAGGGACTCCATTCTCCTGTAAAAACTCCCTAGAGAGAGTTTTTCCCAGCCTCACGCGGAACGTACGGTGCTGCAGGTAACTCTGTATGGCACTCAACATTCGGCCACGGAAACCAAGATCGAATAAATCTTGCAGAATGCCGTAACGCCAGGCTGTGTCGTATGCTTTTTCCAAATCAAAGAAGATGGAGAGACACTGTTGTTCGTTGACAAACGCCTCACGTACGAAGGTCTCAAAGCGGACGAGATGATCGACAGTGGACCGTGCTGACCGAAAGCCACACTGGAACTTATCAAGGCAGCTGTTTCGTTCTAGAAAAAACACGAGTCTCTTGTTAATCATCCTTTCTAATGTCTTGGAAAGACAGCTAGTTAGAGCTATTGGTCTGTAGCTAGATGCACAAGAGGGATCTTTGCCGGGCTTAAGCACTGGTACAACCACAGCGGTCTTCCAGGAGGATAGAAAGTGGCCCTCGAGCCAAACTCTATTAAAAAGGTACAAAATTAGCTCCATAGTGGATGGATGAAGATGTTCGAGCATTTTATAATGAATACCATCTGGTCCAGGGGCAGTTTGTTTGGAACAAAGAAGTGCCATTTGAAGTTCGTATAATGTAAATAGAGTGTTGTAGGGTTCGTGCGTGGCACCTGATGTGATAACAGCTCTTTTTTCTGCATTGATCTTGTATCGCTGGAACGCTAGGGTGTAATGTTCCGAACTGGAGACATACTCGAAGTGTTCACCGGGGATGTTGGCCTGTTCCTCAAGGCTTGCAGAACAAACTCCATTCCGACTCAAGAGTGGGACAGTGAATGCCCGGTAAGAGCCGTCAATTTTATGTACGCGATCCCAGACTTCCTTTGCAGATATAGTGCTGTTAATTGAAGAAGTGTACCCTCTAAAACTTTTTTTCTTAGCTTGCCTTCTAATCCACCTCGCCTGGGACCTTTTCTCTTAAATTCAATAAGATTGTGTGTTGTAGGGTAGCGCCTAAATATACCCCACGCTCGATTTCGTTCTTTTTTGGCCAAACGGCAATCTTTGTTCCACCAGGGCTTTGGTCTCCTGGGCAGATGCGAGGACGTCATGGGGATGGAGAGAATGGCAGCTTGTAAAATGTGCTGAGTGATATGTTGAGTGGCTTTATTGATATCAAGATCGTCAAGTGATGTGCATGCAAAAAGAGATGATTCTTTAAAGGTAGGCCAGTTGGCATTTTCGAATTTCCAACGAGGACAGCGTTTTGGGACTGTCATGGGAAGATGGTTAAATTCTAAGATGATGGGAAAGTGGTCACTTCCGTGAGGATTCGGTATGACCTTCCATGAAAGCAATGGGAATAATAATGGGTGACAAATAGATAGGTCAATGGAAGTGAAAGTGTGAGTTGTTGAGCTAAAATATGTAGATTCATTTGTGTTCAGCAGGCACAATCCCGCAGAAAGCAAAAAACGTTCAACAAGGGCTCCTCTAGAATCCCGTCTGTCACTACCTTACAGGGGATTGTGTGCATTAAAATCTCCTAACAGTGAAAAAGGTGAAGGAAGTTGATTAACAAGGTCTTCTAGCTCCTCCTTATGTAACTGATAATTGGGAGGTATATACAATGAGCAGACTGTAATTATTCGATCTAACAAAATACGTGTAGCCACCGCCTCAAGTGAAGTCTGCAGGGCTACCTCGTTAGAAGGAATTGAACGTTGGACAACCACCGCAACACCTCCAGCTGCGTGAGTTGCATGTGTACGGTCCCTACGAAACACCTGGAAGTGTTTTAAAACATTGGTGTGGGTGGTTTTTAGGTGCGTTTCCTGTATGCAACATGCAATGGGCCGGTGATCCTCTAAAAGATCGCTCACATCATCGTAGTTAGACAGGAGGCCTCTACAGTTCCACTGAAGGAAGAAAGACATTTATCTTCAATAAAGGAAACGCCTCAATAAGTGTTTTACGCAAAAATTGTGAAATGTAGTTTATGCGTCTTTTGGTGCCACAATCCGTGGAATGGTTTTCTTTTTTGCAGTGTCTTTAGGCCGTCCTCCAGCCTCGCAGGAGGCCGAGGAAACAGAGCCTGTTTGAGAGAGAGGAAGGTCCTCATCGGAGAGTGGGACGCTCACATCCATCTTCTCATCCAATGAGACCTTGCGTCCTTTGGGCGGTAGAGGTAAATCTGACCGCCCAGGCTTTGAAGAGCTGCCAGAGGCACGGGGAGGCAGCCCCCGACCCCGGCCAGAAGGGCCAGCTAGTGCCGGTGACGACACATCTGGCTCCTTGGAGGGTGCAGCACCCTCCTTAGAGGGCACAATACACTCATTGGAGCATGAAGGCAGTGGGTTGCCCACTGTCTTCGGACGTTCGTAAAAGGACCCTTGTGGAGATGCCAGGTCTTCCGGGGAAGTCTGCGTCTCCACGGATGCCATAGACAGTGGGGGTCCCCTTCGCAATGCCTCGGCATTTGAACCCCTTGCCTTGAAGGCAAGCTGTTCTCTAGCGTCTTGGTAGTTGAGATTGTGTTTGACCTTAAATGTAATTATCTCCTTTTCTTCCTTTCATTTCGGACATGTGCGTGAAAATGCGGGGTGTGGTCCGCCACAGTTTATGCATTTATGGTTGTTTTCACATATGTCAGCGACGTGGTCAGTGGCACTACATTTCGCACAAGTTTCTCGGCCGCGGCAGTTTCGGGAGCCATGCCCAAAACGCTGGCAACGAAAGCACCGCTGTGGGTTTGGAACGAAAGGACGAACTCTGCAGTTTAGATACCCTGCCTTCACGGTGGAAGGCAGAGAGTGGAGTTCAAAAGTCAGGACTAGGTGTCGGGTTGGTATTTCCTGTCCGTCTCGTCGTAGCGTGATTCGCCGCACGGCCACAACAGCACTCCGACGCAGCCCTTCAAGGATTTCTTCTTCAGTACACTGAAGGAGGTCATCCTCAGAGATGACGCCGCGCACAGTATTTAAAGTCCGGTGCGGGGTTACACAAACTTGGTGTTCACCTAAGCTAGTCAACTTCAGTAATGCTGTCCCCGCTCCAAAAACCCGCAGACCTGTAGGATTATGAAACCTGTGGGTCCCACAGAAATTGTGTGGGTGTATGGGTCCCCGCATAGTGCCTGCAGGTCTGTGGGTCCCTATGGGTCCCCACATAGTTTCTGCGGGTGCGGGTTCCTATGTGTCCCCGCATGGTTTCTGTGGGTCCCTACAGGTCTCCGCATAGCCTGTGGGGCCCGCAGACCTACAGGACTGTGGAGACCATGTGGGTGACCCACACGGTTTCATAATCCTACGCTCTGTGGGCGATCTGTGTGGGGCCTGCGGGAAATGGATGCTTGACTGCCATATTTGATTGAGCCATTGCCACGAACCGGCTGGTCTTGTTTTTATTTAGTCCTTAGTCAGACGCTTGTCCCGGCGTCTGAGATCGTTTATTTTTTCACCGAGTACCCTGTTCACCCTGGTGGTGGTGGCTTGAACTGCAATCACCTCTGGGTGCATCGCTTGCCCGTGAAGTTTTTTGATGAGGCACATCTGAAAAACATGTGACAAGATATTCAAAGGAACAGAAAGGCTTAAACATTCAATGTCCAGCTCGTTTAAGCCTGATCTCAACCCGAAAACCCGCTTGGTCACAGCAGGCCAAACTACAAAGAGGTCGTTTGAGCTGCTATAAAGTATGCAAATTAGGAGCAATTCTGTATCCATTGCTGATTATAAGCTTTTGTAATTAGCTAAAGACACAAATATGGAAATTAGCATTAAGGACCAGGCGAGCTGGTGGGTGATCATGGTTAAAGTTAACCCGAGACAATTGGGAAACAAAAAGGGACAAACACAACGAAGTCTCAAAACAGCTACAGCTGTGTTTTGCTATCGGTGGCCGAGTGGGCTAGTGCACACCAGCTCGGAGAACGTGAAGCGAAAGCTAGAGCTGCAGAACCCACAGATCCTGGGTTCAATCACCATCCCTAACCGTTTTGATCTGGATGAGCATCGTACCAGCATGCGGACGTGCATCACAACTGTCTGGTGCACGTTAAAGGCTGCACGTTAAAGGCCCAGGCTAGTGGTTGTACTGCACTGGCCAAATTTCTTATCTACAGCTGGGAGACAAGCTGCCTGCTGAGGCAAACTAAGTTCTAGGCTGTATAAACATACACAAACCTTTTCTTTTTTTTCCCCCCCTTGTGTTGAAGTTACATTAACCACAAGTATTGACCTGATCGTGGCATTGCATGTGCACTGATCTGCTGTTCCCAACTGACCGAAATGTATGGGAAGACGCTGGACTTTTTTCATCTAGACTATTTTATGATCTTTATTCCAGAGCAAGCCAAAAAAAAAAAATTAAATGCTGGTGCTGAGCTCAGCAAAGAGTAACTCAGAGTCATTAACAAGGTTAAAAATTAAGCGCCGTTCACACTTGCGAGCGAGTAAGACAGAGAGAGATCAGACCGGTTTTTAAGCCTTTTGCCACTTCTTAGGACCGGATGCGGTGCAGCGCAGAGCTGGTCCTAAGAGATTGCAAGACGTTTAAAAACCGGTCGGGTCTCTCTCGGTCTCACTCGGTCGCAAGAGTGTGAATGGGCCTTTATACGAGTCACTGGCACAAAATGGCACATACACATTAAGCTATGGCACTGAACTATTCACCACTGTGACATGCAGGAAAGAGCTGCTGCCATTTCTACAAATTAATCACGTCACTACAATACAATCCAACTACTCAGACGAGGCATTAATTAGGAAAAAAAATTACAGGATTACTGTTTAGATTAAAATTGTGTCAGGTGATTTGCCCTCACCTCTTAAGAATGCCACCTTCTTGGGCGTTAAAGGTGGCCTCGACTCTTTCTCCTTGTTCGCATTTGATGGCACTCCCGTCACGGTCCTTGTCAGCAGCACGTCCGAGCCCCACACGGACGTGGCCAGGTTCTTGATGGCCAGACTTGACCCAATCTTTGCATCCATGGCGTTGTCCCATGCTTTTCTCTGGAGTTTAACTCCCACATCAGTGAAGTTCATCTGTAAAACATTAAAAGAGGTGGCAAAACAAAGGTGCCTGGTGAAAACCAAAGAGCTGCTCTCCATGCAATGCTGATTTATGCGAAGTGGTTACTGTATTTATGATACCCTAGTGGAATGTCAGAGCAAACTGGAGCACTTTACAGTCAAAGGAATCTATAAATATACATAATAACAAAAACAATCACTGCAGCTGTGAGCACCAAACTATTTTTTCTTTCTTTTACAAAGAAGACATGTAAGAAAGAACAAGCAGTGAAATCCTATTTAGTACTTGGTACATATCAAACCTGAGGCAGCTATCCTGACTGGTCAGAAAACGGTTTGGTGTGCTAAAAGGAATGTAAAAACATTTTTAGAAAGTGGTTCTGCAAACATACTTATTTTGTTCTTTGGCATTAGAGGACAACATACCATATTTCCTTGCCCTATTAACACCCTAATTTTCCTGAAAATTGTGTCAATTTTTGAAGGGGTGTGACAAATATGGGGAGGGGGGGACTTTCTCAAATAAAAGCAGAAATGATGGTGTGTCAAACCACTGCATTGGAAATGTGACCGAGTTTCTAGATTGCAAGTGCGGCAGAGGATTTCCTGAGAACTGCTGTGACCACGGGCACGTTCAGAGGTCGTGTTTTTCTGTTTCAGATGGTTTCGATGGTGCAAACGATGTAATTTGAGCACTACCGAAAAGCACACAGAACGTAAAAGTCCAGAGCATGCTGCAGTCACACTCGTCGGCTCCCCCAAACATGCGATCCAAGCATGCGGCCTTTCTCCATTTCTTTTGGCAGCGAGTGAGCCAATGAACCCTGCAGGCTCGGCGGCTGCCTTCACCTGGCGGGCTCACGCACCCGTCGGCATGTCGCATGTATTGTTCTTGGCTATTTCGCCATCGCTTACTGGTGCTTTTTGTGATGCTTTTCAGTTATTTTAGGTATTTTAAAGGTAAATGACGGTCACATATTGCCCATGGTTTCATAACCTATTTCCTGTGGTAGGAAGGTTGCCAAAGTGATAATTTGTCGCTGCCTATTTAAACTAAACGCAATCAGAACTGCGCCGACGGCAGACCATGTGACCCTCGCCACCGGAGCATGAAATGCTGGACGGTGGCACGATCATTCCTAGGTAGCACAAGTTGCCCCCTAATACTGAAGCACTGGATATTCATAGAATTCCTCTAGTGCTTTGCATCATACTGCCTCTGGGCAAAAGGCAAAAAAGAGCAAGACCATTTATGGCCCCAACATCAATGATACAAATATGGGAGGCCATTGTTGATGCCGCCACCGATGTGCATCATTTCGCGTGCATTGCTTGCACTGTGTCCCTGCACAACAGCTACCAACAGACACTGGATCCATTTCACTCGTTTGTTGATTTCCTTAACTAATCTCCTTTCCTAATCTGGACATGAGGACACCGGATATAGTGTGGTTGCCTGCTGGCCAGGTTGTTTGGAGCTTGGACAGAAAAAGTATGAGAAAGATGCCTGTGCTTGCCCAAAAACCGCCACCCGAACGCATTGCACCCGCCGTATCGTGACCACACCAATGCTGTTGCTGGGTGTTTGGCAAAAAAGTTGCTGAACACTGACCACATGAATTCACCTTAAGTAACAAAGCAACAGAGGGCAGACTAAAAACAAAAAGGAAGCTCCCTTGATACTCCTAAGACGCACAAGTTTCGCTTGCACGCGCCTAACAAATGTAGAAAGAATTGCAGAAGTCAAATAGTATCATTAATGAAAAATGTGAGGCTTAAAAGGATACTGAACCAAAATTTGGATATTGCAAAATGAGGTTGCAGAAGCATTGAACGGGACACTACGAACTCTAGAACATAACTCATACATCTATACCTCAAACAGATGGCCATACTTTTGGAAAAGAAGGGTGCGATCAAGCGCGGTCTTTGACGTAATTGTCCTTCGAGAATTTGAGAATGAGGGGAAGCGCCTTGGCTTCTCTTCTCCTCGTTTCGGTTCACCAGCTTGACGGGACGTAGCGAGAAGGAGAAGGAATGAGAATCGTGACGTGCCTTGTCTCGTCAGGCTCGTCGGCCATGTTCAATCGTGCACGTCTTTCCCAAAAATATGGCGATCCGTTAGAGATATCGCTGTATGATGTTTTCGGGTTTTGCAGCGTTCAGCCTTGTCTTGTGAGCTCGAAATTTCGGTTCAGTATGCCTTTAAACCATTTACCCTTTAATGTCCAATGAATTTGCACAGAATGCTATGGGAACAGGTCTAGATTACCTACAAAGTTTAATTCGCTTCTGAATGTTTTCTACAACATTATGACTTTCATGCACTGGGTTGTGCCAATGCTGGTGTCTTGCTGCAAAACCAAGGAATAATTTGTCATGATGGTGCCTAAATATATTCCTGACGTGCAAATTTTAGCACTTCCTACATGGTCAGTGAAAAATGGTCAGTGCCGTTCAATAGGCCCAGACTTCCAATAATGAAAACTTCCTGCTAACATAAAAAAGCCTCCCATCCACAAATATCTTATGAAACTAACAATTACTGAATCAACTTACCATATCACCCTCTTCAGTGTATGTCAGCAGCTCGTACATAGGCTCATTACTGGAGCCTGCTGCAGCGAATGCTTCAGCAGCCACAGGAGCTGCCACTGGGCCAAAGGCTGCAGCTGGTTGTGCGGCCCTTTCCATCACAGGAGGTGGTGCAGGAGCAGGTATGGCAACTGGCGCTACTGCCCTGACTTGTTCTGTCAAAAATGTATAACATTAATCACCACAGGGCATAGCAGTGTCACGTATCGTGTGTTGGTGCACTAAAAGCTGACAGTGGGACAATGATCCCACAACAGCTCAAGCAACCGCCCACCATCTTTGAGCAGCATGACTGCACTGCCTGCCTCCAGGTGCACAGGGAGAGCAGCACACCTAGCACAAGGCTGGCAGCTGATTGGTTCAGCCTAAAACCACTAAATGTTTCCAGACTATCGCATTCCATAGAACCCGCTTACTGCAAGCACACCGAGCCTTCTGATTGACAGTTGTTGGCCATGGCAGAAGTTGTGCATCATTACACTAGCAGGAAGCAGTCCAACAAATATACAGGGTGTCACAAAAAAAAAAAAAAAAATTTAGTGTTTTTTTTTTTACTGCAAATATAAACTAGGCCATCGCCGAACACTCATTCTCTGCCCAAAGGTAGCGCTAGAGGTCACAACCAGATGCCAAAGCTTCATCCCGATCCGATACCTTATTCAAAAGTTATAAGTGATTTTTTGAAAATTTCAATGGAAAAATGGAGCCCATTTTTGCCCATTTTCGGTTTTGGGTGCCATAGAGCCCCATGAATTCAAAAACTCCGTTGGCGGCCATTTTGCAATTGCACTTTTCAGAAAAGCACTAATAACTTTTGAATATGGTATCGGATTGGGCTGAAACTTTTGCATTGGTTGTGACCTCTAGCGCCACCTTTGGGTGAAGAATGAGCTTTCGGCGATGCCTAGTTTATAGTTGCGGTAAAAAAAAAAACTTGTAAATTTTTTTTTCCGACACCCTGTATGTAAAACAAACACCCGCAACAGGAAGCTCTCGGAATCAGTGAGCAAGGAACAGATGAGGGCTGTGTTGATTTTGTCTCACAAATTTCCTTCTGAATCTATTTCACCAGATTGCCAGCTTGTTTGCCTGCTCCAGTTGTGCTGCTGCTGCATTTCAGACGCTAGGCCTAAAACGCTCAGCCACTGCCTCACCTTGAATGAATCTCAAAGCAAGACGCTAGTCACACAAACGTTTAGAACGAAGGGAAGAAGTTTAATCAAAACTAGCTAGTGCCAACACCACACTAGTGCCAGCATCACGACAGCATTGAGTTGCTATTGGTGAGCTTTTGCCAACAGCTTCATGGTCAGCAAAGGCGGTTCTGAAAAATCGGTACCGGTGCAATTCTGAAAACATGCTCCAACCGTTTTTGCAGCTGTAAACCTGTGGATCCCTTCACGTTTTTTGGGTCCACTTCCAGTGTGAATGGGACATTAGGGTAAACACCCAGTGAAATCATTCAGTGACCCATGTAGAAATGTCACACTTTCGAGCGATGACAACTCGTAGATTCTGGGGATGCATTTGGTTCTGAACAGCACTGGCGGTTAACATTGCTTGTTGTAAGGGAGAAAGGATGTTGGTATACCTTTTCAACGTAGTCAATAAATAAGCCTCATCTGTGATAGTACTTGCAGTCAAACTTCTGCTCCATACAAGACTATCAGCAGCAGCATTAACAGCACCCGCGGTAGAGACAGTTAAATGCTAATGGTGGCCCAGCCAGTGTTGCCTGTTGCCAACATCATCAAACACAGCTTCCTGCGGTTGCCAGCAGCAATTCCTGAAAGGGTCTATTATTTAGCACACACCTTCTTTCCGTACCAGGGCCCTCTGGAGGTCCCTGTTCAGCTTTGTGACGGTCTGCAGCTCTTCTTTTAATCTTCGAACTTTGTTCTTCGCTTTCCTGTACTTCTCGCGAAGTTTGGCCATCTCATCAGCGTTCTGGGTAATGATCCAAAAAAAGAGAATTAAGACAGACACATCACTGCATATGCACATTTACTAGAGACATTTGAATTACAGAACCTATAAACATGCCTTAAAAAGAGATTGAGATGTTTTGACTTCCAACACTTCTGGGTTCCTCTTTCGCCCCCTGCCATTATCAGCGACGCCCATGGTGATAAAATATAGAAGGGTGGAAAACATCAAAATTTGCAGACCAGGTGCAACTAAGGCCCATGCCAATACTGAAGAAAATGAGCATGTGACATGTGAAATGTTACTGGTTTCGCGCCTCGCTGCTGTTTTCGTTAGGCATAGCGTTTCCCCTTTTTTGCACATTGTCGTCTTTCATGGCACTCTTCATCGCTTAGCTTGTTGCGTGCCATTGTAGACAACCTAAGAGCGCAAATCCTCGCACTCTGTTCCCGACTTCACGCGCCGCAAGCACAGGTGGTGTGACGTGCCACTCGGCTCTCGGCCGCTGCAGCGGAGCGCGAGCACGAATGCTTGTGCTCTGCAACCATGTTCACGCGCAATAAGCATGGCGCGCAACATTTTTAACATTACTGTTACAACTACACAATGATTTCTGCGTATGGCCCAATTCGTTATCATTATCTACACTTTAGCTTTTGCCGTCTTTCGTGGTACTATCACGATCAATATGAGTGCGAACACCGCTCCGCGTGGCCCGCGGTACTATCAGTGCCCCCGGGCGATTTCTCTTTGAAGTATAAGTGCACCTTGTGGTCGAGACATCAACTCTAGCGATCACCGCACCACTCTTCTGCACTTTCGGTTCATCTGCTAGTGAAAAAGGGTCGCCCGGCGAAACCACGAAACTGTTCACCAGTGATGAAGCGCGTTTTTCGCTAGCAATGTGTGCCAGCAGAAATAACTTGTCTAAATATTTTTAAGGAAGTTTTAGTAGATTATTTCTATGACTCTGATAAAAATATCCGATACTTCGCCGGCACCTTTTAGCATGCATTATATTGTTATCGGAGGTATCAAAAGAATCAACTAAGACTGCCTATTATTTCCTTCGAGTGAGTTTTGCGAGAGCAAAGGATCACCAATAAGCAGAGGCAAGAAGTTAGTGCAGTGCAGGGTTGGGCAGAAATACTCAAAAATGTATTTGGAAATACAAATACTGGGATACATTAAAATAGTAGCTGAAATACTGATACTCAAATACCTATATCTGTAAAAGTGTATCACGATATAATTGGAAATACATTTTAAATAGAGGCAAAAAGTATTTAGAAATGAATACATTTTAGGGAGGGCAGAAATACAAATACAGAAATACTGATACTGCAATACATTTTTCGAATTTGTTTGAGACGCCAAATGAGATGAAGATTGAAGTTGGAAGTGGAAGTTTTTGATCCTGAAATTACTTTCCCGAAGGCTTGGCACTTTGCCTTGAAGGTAGTGACTTCGGACGACAAGGTATTCTCAATGGACTCGAAAAAACGTTCCATCAAGGATTGACTGCGGTCCCCTCCCTGACATTCTGTCTGTCTGACAAGGAATGCGAAAGGACTTCGACCTCTAAATAAATTCTGTGTCATCCTAAATCCCATCAAAACGTCACCACGCCCCTGTCAACATTTATCACACGACGTCACAGTGGAATGAACTGGTATTCTTTATCTGTAGGTGTGGCCTTGAACATGACACTTTACCACGCTGCTGTATGAAAGGACAATACATATGTGCTTTCGTTGTAGGTTACCTCGTTGAAGATTGTGCAGGCAGTGTCATTTGGAATTTTCAAGAATAGCGAACCACCTGAAGCACCCTGGAACACATGTCTTATCTTCTGTTACGGTTGAAAAAACAATATGGTGGCATCCCTGTTGTGAAGGTCCTTCCTGCCGACCTTTTGCCACCGACGCATGGATTGCAGTCCTCAAGTTTCGTCTTGCATACTCCAAATAAAGACCTTGTGGATTGCAACCTGATATTGCCGGCACAGGTGTGAGCTCTCCGAGAAACAGTGCGCTCAAGACGAGTCGCAGGTGTACGAAGTTTGGGTCGGCACAGCGAGGCCATGTATGGCCTCCTTCCTGGGTTTCGGATCACCAGAACAGCGGGTCACGTTCATGTCGGCTGATGACGTATCCTTGAGCCGTACGATATTACAGGCGCAGCCGCAAACGGATTCCAATATGTGTGAAACTTCACAGCGTAAGTCATCCTACGATTTGAAGTCAACCACCACCAGGCATGTGCTGCAGCGGACTGTGACTCAGCTTTGTCGGCTGGGTGTACTGTGTACGCCAAGGCGAGAGGGACGGTTAGCAGCGGGCTTTGGATGCCAGCAAACAATGACTCAAGAAACTCCTGCCTAAGGACCTGCGGCAGAAAATGCTCCAACTCCACTCCTGGCCCGCCACCTGGTTCGAGTCCCCGACTACACAACAGTTCTCAGAAGAGAGAAGAGCACGCATAGAAAAAGAGTTTGGAGAATCGGAAGGAACCTTGGTCAGTAGGGTAACAATGCCTCAGCATCTCCTTGACCCTGGTGCCCTCAGAAACAAAAAAAAAAAAAATGTGTTCGGATTTGTATTTTTTGGGGGGGGGGGAGGGGGGAGTATTTCTCAAGAAAGGTAACGAAATACATTTCACCCTGATTGTATCGCGATACAAAGGAACATTCATAATGTATTTCGATACAGCAATACAGATACTGGTGAAAAAAATGTATCGCGATACAGAAATACAGATACGATATGTGTTCCTGAAATACTATCGCGATAGATTTGTATTGCGATACCGCCCAACCCTGGTGCGGTGCGAGCTTGGGTGATACGCTTCATGGAAAACAGCGCGAAATAAACGACGATGACGTAGAAGAAACACACAAAATGTCCTTGTCATTTTTTTTTTTGTCAGTTTTTCACGATGAAGCGTATCACCCATGCTCGCACCACATAAACATCTTGCCTGTGTGCATTGGTGGTTCTTTGCTCTCGCGAAACTCACACAGAGGAAATAATAAGCAAGCAGTCTTAATTGATTGTTTTGATATCTTCAATAGCAATATGATGCATGGTTTAAGGTGTCGGCGAAGTATCGGTTGTCGTTATTGGAGTAATGGGAATAATCTACCAAAATTCCTAATCAAAAAGATGACCCTAAAAATATTTATACAGTAAAACCTTGTTATAACAAAGTTGAAGGAGCGGTCGTAATTATTTTGTTATAACCATTAGTTTGTTATAGCTAATGTCAATTTCTTCCCACTATTAGCTAGCAAGGGGAATTATGATTGATTTGTTATATCCATTAGTTTGTTATATCCCATTTTGTTATAACGAGGTTTTACTGTACTTGTTATTTCTGCTGGCGCACATTGTTAGCGAAAAATCTGCTTCGTCCTTGGTAAACAGTTTCACGGTTTCGTTGACCGTTTTTCGCTAGCAGACGACCAGAAGTGCAGTGTGGCATGGCTGCCACTGGGGACGACATGTCTCAATTGCAATGTGCACTTCTACTTCAAAGAGCAATTGCCAGGGCGCACTGATAGTACCGCGGACCACGCAAAGCGGTGTTTGCCCTTATATTGATCGTGATAGTACAGGCACCCCCCCCCCCCCCCCCTTTCCCCCTGCAATAGTATGCCCCGGGCTCTGAGAGTCATAAAATTAACAAGAGTATTTTAGTGAGTTAGCTGCCGTGCCTGGAGAAACACTTTGGACAGGCAATTACTGCATTTCTTACCTCATCATCAGAGGCCCCAGCTGGCACAGGTAGGTCTCCACCCGCAAAAGCTGGATTTTTTCGTACTTCCTTGTTGTGGGCTTTCAGGATCTCGTCCCAGTTTGTCACCTGGCCAAGAGCTGCATTGGCCTTTTGAGTCTGCAATAAGAGAAAGGACAGATGCCATATTAATTTTCAGATGAGCACACTGATAACAATTAATGTATGTGCTATTCTTTGCAAAACCTAATACTGTAAACAACTTAATTTTCGCGTAGACCTAGTTTTTGTGAATTTCGCGAATCACCTACAATTCGCGAAAAATAGGTCCCGCGAACAATTCCGGTAAAATGTAAACACATTGGAATCTATACTGAAATCCCACCGCGTCGCGAAAATTAGAGCTCCTGAATTATTCCAAAACTTCAGCTTTGACCTCAATCGCGAAATATTGAGCCCACGAAAAATAAGTTGTTTACAGTACATAATTTTGTTAAGCTGCTTTGACCACACCAATCAATTTGGTGTCAAGAAATATAGAAACAAGCATAGGCATCACATGTTTCTTGCCAGTATTATATGGTGAAAATGTCAGAATGAGACTGTCTAACAAACATAAACTCATACTGATGGCCTATATATGAAAGACCTCGTGCATTAAAAAGTGCATTCGCTCTTTAGAATGGTGGCATGAATTTTATGCTTCATCATGGCAAGAGTGTTCGCCCAGGATGGTTAGTGATAGCCAGCAATCGCAAGAATCAGTAGGGCATGCATGCAAATCTGTGCGTAATATACTCAATGTTCCTTCCAAGACAAACAAACATATTAAAACAAGGGAACTGGCATTAGGGCACTTTCAATAATGCCTTCAGCTTGCCCAAACTAGTGGCCACTATTAAAAGGTTGCTTGTGCAATTAGGTACCTAATTAACAAAGATATCTTTGGTAACTTCAATTAGTAAAAATACATGTGTACCGGTTTTCCGGGTCATGAAAATGCGCCACGCCCGCAAAAGTTTCGTTTTTGATCATCCGCTTTTTCGCTCCACCAACCCTGTGCCTGCATCTAACATGGTAAGCTTCACACACAATCCCAATCTTTCTAAAACTGCCTAGTCGAGTGTTTTTTGATTATGCCCAGCAAGTTTATAACTGGAACTTTGTGCTTATGACTAATAATTAAGA